CGTAGTTTCCCGTAGCACAAGGTGATATCTGTCAAGGCTGTAGCATTATGATGCTTTCAAATAGACTTTGTACCACCAAATGATCTCTTTAATAACCCCCCCCCCATCAAAGTCCCCACTCCCCTTTTGCTCCCCAAGTCCATTTACCAACATCCCAAGACACCAAGCACAAAGCAAGCAGTCCATAGTCACAATAGAGGATCCTCGTGGTGGCAGCTTGTGAAAAGGTCCAGATGATTGATCACATGCTGATACTACTCCCGACCTTTGGCTGAACTTGTTGAAACTCATAAATTTAGGGGAATTGGAGCCAGAGGGACTTTTTATGCGACGAGTCAGATGTTATCAATTGTAATACTTCTGTAAAGATTGAATCCACTGTACAATATTAACAACTAGGCCCCGTGTTTCTCTGCCAGAGCGGAGTTTTGCCTTGTCACGAGTCAGTTGATGTGGGTTTCGTTTTAGGTCAGTATTAGTGAATGGCAATGTTGCACACTGTTGCTTTTGGACTGTTAATTAGAAGCATTTAGAGATTAAGCTCCCTTGCCAAATTGAATTAGTGAAATTATTGGTTGCGGGCCAGAAGGCGTGTTTACATGTGTTCTTAAAGTGGGACGCAGTGTTTTGGATTCACTCAGGATTATGCAACACACTTAAGACAACATCCTGTATAGCAGACTGCTTTAAACTGCAGGCATGTGGGTTGTGTTTATGTTCACCAGCCCTTGAGCTAACAGCTGTCAACACTTTATCTGGCAGGCTGTACTTTGCCTCAGGGCCTTGAAATAACTAGTGTTTCCCCAGGCTGCAAAAAAGCCTGTTTGCAAACCTTATTGGTCATTAATTTGGGACAAGTAGCCGTCCTGTGGTGGCCCTGTGAGACTACTGCCACACTGCAGTGGATCCGTTTTCACAGGCCCTCAGGGTGGAGGGATTGCGGTATAATGGTTCAGACTGGCAGAAAAAGTACTGATACAGCTATGAGCCACGAGGGATGATACACAAGAGCATCCTTTGCTGAAGTATTTTATGGACCAATGTGCCCCTTTATCAGAAATCAGCTGGGTGACTGGATGTTTCAGATGAAGGAATGGAGGAAAGGATGTTTCATGTATCTAAAAAGGTGAACTTCTTGAAACCCTCGATTTCTCTCTTCCCACATTTTTTTCTTGCATCCTACATGGGAGGGACTAATACCCAAGGACAGGATGCAAGTGAGGGAAATGTGGATGCAGTTCTGCACGCCAGACATGATCCTCACTGGTGTTTTATCTCTCAGATCATGAAAGCAGTGTCTCTCAGGAACATTCTGTTTAATAACTCACCAAAGCAAACAAATCGATTCACACACTGGTGCTCCTCCTAGGAACGAGGATTTGACAAAAAGTTCAGTCTACTTCTGCAAAGTTCATTCATGCATTTATAAACTAACAGAGATTTCCTTTCTTTGTGGATACCAAAGTGATAGTGATGGTCACTTTGGACATGAATCCATGAGAATAACTTCGCTCTGGACATGAAGGGTTTCCAAAAGGAAGGAAGTGAAATGGAGGGAAAAAAGCCAACCGGCATCGTTTGATTGTCTGTGAAACAATGCAGGTTACATTCCTCTGAAAACAACAAAAGCAACACATTCCTTTTTTTATTTGAGTTCCCTCACATGACCCTGCAGTGGTCTGAAAACATGTTTGGATCCAGAGGTTTCCAGCATTTATAGGAGGCATCTTTCCTTTAGAAGTGTTTGCTTAAAAGCTTTTTAAAAAAATTCTAACATGTTAATATTGATTATTGTTCTCTATTGTATTGCTCCCTTCAGTAGATTTGATGCTGGTGGGGTGATTTAGTGTTCAAATGACTTATGTTCAGTGTACACTGTGCCCTTAACCTACAGTAAACACTTATTTGCATGCAAATGGAATCTATCACCTCCACTTTTCTAGCAGTGTTCTGTAGCTCTAGCTTCCTGCTGTAACTCAAGGTGTTTTATTCATTTTATTTTAGTGAGTGCTGGACCAAAGGGTCTGTTCTCACTGTATTATAAAACAGCCTAGTATGTTCACGGCATATATTTTACCCTATACGTTACCTCGACCTAAGCGTTCCTCTGGCCAAACAGGCGTTTCATGTACATCTGTTGCTTATGAGAGCAACACGTGTACATGAATAAAGCTTTGTAGCAGCTCTGCAGTCACTGACAGCAACATAATGAGGAAGCCAAACTCCACAGTTCAGACTGTCATGGTCAGAAGAGATATCGTATGAACCACAAAGGACAGAATTGTAACTGGCCTAACCTTTGCAACACTGGCTTCCACCTGGAGGTTTTGGCCCACCAGAGGCCAATGAAATGATATTTTGGATTCAGCAGATGTGCAAAAATATTTAAAATACTTGGAATGATTTTGATGTCTGTGTCTTTTCATTGTGAAATTACAGTATTTGTATGATCAGTTGGTGTGTCCAATTGGAACCTTATTAACCCACCTGTAGGAAAATTTAGTTTCTTTTATTTGCATGAGAAAATTTTCCAGATAGTTTTTCAGCTGAGTAACAACAGTGTCATTTTCTCTTCTTTTGCTGTACATAGGTAGTCTGGCATTATAACCTCCTTATGCACTCATTGACAAGGTTTGTGGAAACTGACCATGTTATTGTATGATGAGGGATTCAGGGTGCCACTACATAGCCAGGTAGTAAAAGGTCATCCAGTTTTTGCAGACACTGTACTAACATCCATCTGAAACATTTATTCAGGAGCTCCTAAATCAAGGTCATCTACTCAGCTGCAGATTTTTTTTTTTTTTTTGAGCTGCAGCTATAAAAGTATCTAGGCCACGAAATCTTTAGTGAGGTCAGACCATAATATATTAGTGTCTTGTGAACAAAACCAGACAATGCATTGAACCTGTGGTGGCTTTACATGTAAAGTGAAGACCTGTGCATGTTATTCATACAAGATTAAGGAATGATGAACTATCTGGGAATGTTATTCTTGAGTATATAAAATATGGAACTGTTAACTGACAAACTGTGGAATCAGGGGTCTGCTGTCATTTAGTCCTACTGCTTCACACAAAGAACTGAACATTTCTTAGTGGCAGATCTGGAGACAGAATTAATCTCACTGATCAAGTTAAACCTCAGTGGGTTGAGCCAAAGATGTTTTTCTGGCCAAGTAACATCAGCCTGAAGCCCAGTGTAAAAGGCAGGAGGAAGATGATTACCATTAATCCTGGTACTCCTGGTAATCCTTTAACTAGTCGGCTAGTCTAAGTTTACACAGGCTCTGATAGCCTACAGGTGTTTAAAGGAATAATTCAACTTTTTTTTGGAAATGCACTAATTTGCTTCCTTCCCTAGAGATGAATGAAAAGTGAGGTCCCATGTCTGCCAATAAATTTGTAAATATGCTGGAGCCAGCAGCCAGTTACTTTAGCATGCATGAAGACTTGATATGGGGAAACTGTTAACCTCAGCTGACATCATCCACCTGTCTCTACCTGTTCACTTCACTAATGAGCACATTATGTTTCTGCTGTTTGATCCATACTGTATGAAAATCAAAGTGTAGAAGCATCAATTTGTGCTTTTACAGATGATGACTTCATAGTGATGAGACTCCAGGACTGCAGCAGGCCAAGAAATGGTGATTATCAATGCAGCTGCAGATGCTCATGAGCTTCGGAGGTCATGAGTGCATTGTCAGGAAAAAAATGTGTTCAGTGAAGTGTGTGCTTTTTAAAATTCTTTTAGCAGTGTTTCCATTCACGTTGCCACTGGAGTAGCTCTGCCTGCTGATATTTAATTCATAGCAAGTCCATAAATTGTAGTCGTAGAGTGTGTGTTTCGTGGACCTTATGTTTGTACTGTGGGGCAGACTTTGAGACTCACTCACTAGTTTTGTGCTGTTGGCACCAGACACACAATGCCCTGTACACAAGTGTTGCCGCAGTAGTGGCAGTGAATGTCAGGATACACAGAAAATCTATGCCACATTCATTTCCCTGGCACCAAACATTACACCCCCCACCCTCCACTGTAGAAATGAGGCCTACAGTCAGCTTACAGTGCACACAGACATACAGCAGTTCATGTCTTTTGTAACAGGTCCAGGGTCCCCAGTGAACCAAGAACGTGAGAGAACACGTTCAGACTCAACACGAGTCAGGCCAGACACTCTACATCATGGTACTTACAGCTGTGAAAATACATGTAAAAGAAACTGCCTGGATATTTAATCTTGTAATTGTTTTAGTTTCCAAACCATCAGCCAGAAGGAGGTTCCCCTCTCTCTATGGCCAAAATGTCTGCTAGTGGGAATACATAGATTTTAAGTGGTTTTGGTCCTAAAGTCTTTCAGCTGCAGATTTTTTTTTTTTTTTTTTTTGAAAAGGGGGAAAAGGGAAGAAATCAGCAATTGGGATTAAACTTGTTTCATAATCTTTGCTGTGACTCAATCTCACACAGTTCTGGAGCTACAAGAGTCTACAGGTTTGCTGCCCGACGGTTTCCTGCACTTAAATATCTCACAACAAATAAGGAGCATTCGTATGTGCTGTATTATCCCAAGAAGAGAGCACATGCCTCATTACATTGTAGTCATGTAAATACATGCAGCTTCTCCTTCTTGGAGGGTCTGAGCAACTATTACCTGATAAATCCCCTGTCACGCCATATTAGCCTGCCCGAGCCATTCGGTTGGGATGATTGCAGATTATGTCAAGCTTGTTAGTGTTTAGCACTGTTAACCAGAGAGGGACTTGATATACAGCTGGCTGCTCTTTGTGCTTTTCTCCATACCAATCCCAGGATTTACTCTTAAGGAAGACGTGAGCAGACTGCAGATAAAGGCTGTTACGCTTGTTTCTTTGTTTCCAAGTGGAGTTTTTGTCTAGACTTTAGAGTCAAACTGAAATGATCTTTTGATATCCAGTTTTTGATCAGGAGCCCTCCTGCTGTTATAGTTTGCTAACTCACTACTTTTGTTGTCTCTCTAGGCTGTGACAGGAAGATGCTTTGGTGACAAGGATTTCAGAGGAGGTTTGGAGAACGGAATACTGCTCTGCGAGTGAGTCCTGAATCATTTTTATTTTTGTCTGACTTGTTTTAGTAATCAGACTGTCCTTTAGGTGTCTCTTAAGTTCATGCCTTTGTTACTCTTACTTTCTTGAAGAAAACAATGCTTTAACATCATCTGAGTGATCATGAAATATAGGTCAGAGAGAAGGAAAAGGATCATCACGTGAACCTACAATGGCCACTAGATTCAAAATTAATTGGCATTAGCAGTGAAACAGGATTCCTGTTGTAAGCGTACTGATGGTTGGAGGACTGTAGTGCAGTGACCAAAGAGACAGGCATCCTGTTGAAAAGTCTTCCGCTGTGTATCGATGAGACTGAAATCGCAGAGATGCTCGTACTTTCTTCATTCCGCAATCTTTGGTTAGCTATACTAGTCCGATGTTTGCTCACACAGTCTTGGTTGTGAATAAAGACATCACAACCAATTTAGCTGTGTCCCCACTGGGTTTGGAATTTCTGGAATACATAATATGGCACATCTACAGGTGCCATATTTCCATTCTGCCAAGGATGAAGGTGTAGTGAGGTGTAGGCCTCAACAGAAGTATATCAAAATTAAAACAAGTCACAGAGCTGTGCCAGTGCACCATGCTTTATTTACTTCATATTTTCAACTATCTTGCAGTTATCTAGAGATACTGTCACATTCCAGACCCTGAAAATCATAGTGATTTTTCAATGTGCAGCTCACACAATGGGGAAACGATATTAACAAACGTTGGCTATGTTAGGTGAATTTGTGGAGTCATGGCGTTTTCTGGTTCATGTATTCATCTGCAGAACATTACACGTAGTCTGATTTGTTCTGCCACTGTGTATTCCCCACCCCACCCCCCTCTCTCCAGAGGACACTGACGTCACATGTATGTCCTGGTTAATTTTCTAAATTAGTTTTCATTGCACTTTGTCCTATTTTGCTTTTATTTACTATACAGAGCAACGTCCAACTCAACCATGCATAAAAACATTTATGCATTATTCTTGCAATATTAGTAATTCTTTAGAAAAATGTTGTCACTTTAAAAATAAAAGATAAAACATGGTTTTATACAATAACCAATGCATGTATAGGTTTCACCACAGAAACTCCTTGTAGATGGTGTATTCGCAATCCAACCACTTCCATTTATACACCGTGAAGCTTCTCTGATGTTCTCATCCAATCTCATCTCTCACCAGACACTTTTACAATGGGTAAAAGCCTACAGAGCATTCAGGGACATTTAAACAGTGTATTATTAGTATTAGAAGTATAGCATTAGTATAGGTTTTCAGGGCTGGGCCTGAATATCTGACCATTTGGATTCGTTCATTGGATAAGTGATCAGTTTTCAGTATTAGTATTCAAATATTCGACCCTCATATTGTTTGAGATCATCAGTATTATTCAAAAACTTAGTTTCCATCACATACAGTCCATTCCTCTCTGTTACTTCACATTCCAATACATGGATTGCTATGTGTGCGCTGCAGTGCACCAGCAGTGATGTGCATATATGTGTGCACCGTGGTGTACAAACCCTGACCATTGTGCCTCAGCTTGTATTTTGCTTTAATATTCTGGATTAGAACAAACCAGTTATTTTTCCATTATGATCTAAATGAATCCTCTGTCAAATATAGGAGCTTGTTAAAACCTGAGCGTGTGATTTTACTGGGGTACAGCTGATCAGTACCGGGGCATCTGTTACATTAAATATTACACAATAACCTTCATTAGCTTTTTGTTTTGATTTTTAATCCAAAGTATTTCCAGATGGGCAATGAGGTATTTAAGATGCAGCACAATGGCTAAAATCACACATGCAATAGGATTTGACAAACTTTTTCCACAACAAACTTCTCTAAACAGAGTCATCTGCACACATGCTCAACACTCATACAGGGAAAAATCCATCTTAGGAGAGATGACAAACCCGAGATAGCCACTTGGTTAGCTTGTAATTTTTAGGAAAAATCAACAACAAGGAAAGGAACCTGCAAGATTCTTAACATTCCAGGAAATTTTCAGGAGTCTAAATATTGTATTTAGTGTTGCTCATTCTCTCACCTGCACATACTGAGAACACCCTTAGCCCAGGGTTGTTGAAAGTTATTCTGGGAAATGCACAACAGGAGTTCACCAAAACAGTGAATTACAGCACTTCATCACAAAACACATGCTAGAATGCCACGAACAGCACAGGGCAGCTTATATGTGACACTGTAAGCTTATCCAAGGGTAGATTTTTTGTGTGCAAGGCTGAATCATTACAGTGCTTTTCTAATGGAAACACACAGAAGATGAAACTGGAGACAGAGGGAGATGGAAGGAGGGACAAGGGTTTATTTATACAAATTTAGCTTGTGATGTCTTCTTCCCTGTTTGTCTTTTGTTAGGTTGCTGAGTTCAATTAAACCTGGTCTGGTGAAGAAAATTAACAGACTTCCGACACCTATCGCTGGCCTGGTAAGTCCTCCACTCACTCACCTTTTGCACCCAAGATCCAAAATTTCCACCAAAACTTCCTTCACTCGTTTGATCCTCTTGGACCTTTCAGCCAGACTGTCTCCTGCTTTAGGCCTTCCTCGTTGCATTGTTTTGTCTCTGTCTCCTCCTTTTCTTCATTTATTGTTTTTGCAAGCTGTGTCCGTTTCCCTCTCCAGGCCAACTTTTGATGTTACTCTTCTACAGTGCTCTCTAATGTTAGAAACTTGCTTTAATATGTCATCACCTTTGAAAAAAGTGCATACATTTAACCTCATGTTTTTCATACCCGTTCGGCTTTCAAAGGCTGAAACCTATTAGTGAAAAATATCCATACAACCTGACTTTTATTGTGTGCCAAAGGTCTGAAGTAAAGGGTGATGCCACATGTTTGATATTGCAGTTAACTGCTTTCTTCCGTGCCAATGTGGTTTAGGAAGAAAATCCTGGATACTATTGAACTACAGTTTCCCCCAAGGCAACAACTGGAAACATACACTGACAGTAATCTTAATGACTTGGACACACTTTACATTATAAACTATCAGTGTGTGGTTACAGATAACACGCAGCAGAAAGATCTCAGTTACAGTCTTCACAGCCAAGGTGTCGATCAGCAGCCACGTGTGACACTGAGTCTTTCACGGCTCACTTACTGTATGGTGTGACTATTCTGCATTGACTCGGCGCATCAGCAGATGCACTTGTGAAATATTCGGAATCACGACATCAGCATGACGTATTTGCTTGCAGGAGCATATCTTCCAACATCTGTTAATAGTTTTTTGCGTTGGAAAGTGAGTGAGGGTGCAGTAAAATTATAAAAAGCAGCTTTTTTTTTAAATTTAATAGATAGAAATTGTCACTCTTTCTTAAACCCTAAGCTGAATATTGTGCATTTTTATCCGTGCTTTTATTTAAGAATCTTAAGTATGTAGACGTGAGCACTGATACATTTCACTTGAATGCAGTGCAGTACAGTAGAGCCCTTTCAGGACGACCTGAGACCTTGATCTGGATGAAGTGGCCTTTCAGGGTTTGGACTGCCCTGTAAACAGAGGAACACTGAAAGTTGATAGCTTTGGGGCTCACAGTAAATGTGCTTCCTTCTCTCTTTCCTTCCTGACTGGCTCACCACACAACTTGGTTTGGCAGTGTCTTTTTATCAGTCAAATGACTAACTGGTTTCTTGGCCATGTTTTTAGCTCTAAAAATGAAATTTGCAGCTTGTTGTTGAGTTTTTAAGCAAAAGCGGGTCACTCATTTACTGCCTTGGCTCCTATTATTAAAATGTGACGCTATCATTCATACAGTATAAAGTACAGGCCACATTGGAGCAAAGAAACTACACTGACATGTTGTTGTGTCCAGTGTCCTTAAAGACACTGATGGAGATTGAAGTCAAGACAGTGTCCAACTTTTAAACGAGTTCCTATGAACAGTAATGACAAAGGAGCTTAAACACACGATGACAGAGGTTCTAGTACTGGCTGGGTGTATATGGATCATCCCATTGAGGCTTCTCTTGTTTTTTTTTCATGTGGTGGATAATAAACAGTGCACTGCTGATGATCCTGCCATAGCTTTTAAACCCACAAGCCTCTGTGCTCACTACATAATTCACCTTTGTGATTAGTGCATAAACTTCCACCAGTCTTCTTGCACCATTTTTGCATTCTCTTCTTCCTTTCTTAATCTGGTAGTGCTGTATTCATCACTGTAGTTATTTTTCTCTGTTTGTGGTCTAATGATCTGATTAGTCCATGTGCTCTGGTTGACAGCCACATGTTTTATAGGATTCACTTGTTAAGTGTGACATAACGTTTCACTTCCAGGTTCAAACTTTCCGAGGCCCAAATGGCAAAGTCTGTCACCCTCTATACAGTAACATCTCTGTTTTTAGTCAGGTGTCACTGACGCAAAAGAGGACTAAATTCTTTTGTGTAGCTGTTATATACATTGTATTATGTCTGACCTGTTTTTAATAGTTCCTAGATTTTACCGTTACATGTGCAATGTGTCAGTGTATAGTGTTTATGTTAACTTTGTGCTAACTAGCTAGCAACATTATGAGCCAGAACGGCACCCCTTTAGAAGTTTTATTTTTATTAAGCTAAATATTAATTTAGTAAACTATAGCCATTTCTTTTTCTCCTTCTCATTGTAAGAAAGTGGTAACATGATGGCTATCCTGTGATTTTTGATTCTGATCTATTGAAACTATGGGGAACACAACACTGCGTATACAAATTTAGCTTGTGATGTCTTCTTCCCTGTTTGTCTTTTGTTAGGTTGCTGAGTTCAATTAAACCTGGTCTGGTGAAGAAAATTAACAGACTTCCGACACCTATCGCTGGCCTGGTAAGTCCTCCACTCACTCACCTTTTGCACCCAAGATCCAAAATTTCCACCAAAACTTCCTTCACTCGTTTGATCCTCTTGGACCTTTCAGCCAGACTGTCTCCTGCTTTAGGCCTTCCTCGTTGCATTGTTTTGTCTCTGTCTCCTCCTTTTCTTCATTTATTGTTTTTGCAAGCTGTGTCCGTTTCCCTCTCCAGGCCAACTTTTGATGTTACTCTTCTACAGTGCTCTCTAATGTTAGAAACTTGCTTTAATATGTCATCACCTTTGAAAAAAGTGCATACATTTAACCTCATGTTTTTCATACCCGTTCGGCTTTCAAAGGCTGAAACCTATTAGTGAAAAATATCCATACAACCTGACTTTTATTGTGTGCCAAAGGTCTGAAGTAAAGGGTGATGCCACATGTTTGATATTGCAGTTAACTGCTTTCTTCCGTGCCAATGTGGTTTAGGAAGAAAATCCTGGATACTATTGAACTACAGTTTCCCCCAAGGCAACAACTGGAAACATACACTGACAGTAATCTTAATGACTTGGACACACTTTACATTATAAACTATCAGTGTGTGGTTACAGATAACACGCAGCAGAAAGATCTCAGTTACAGTCTTCACAGCCAAGGTGTCGATCAGCAGCCACGTGTGACACTGAGTCTTTCACGGCTCACTTACTGTATGGTGTGACTATTCTGCATTGACTCGGCGCATCAGCAGATGCACTTGTGAAATATTCGGAATCACGACATCAGCATGACGTATTTGCTTGCAGGAGCATATCTTCCAACATCTGTTAATAGTTTTTTGCGTTGGAAAGTGAGTGAGGGTGCAGTAAAATTATAAAAAGCAGCTTTTTTTTTAAATTTAATAGATAGAAATTGTCACTCTTTCTTAAACCCTAAGCTGAATATTGTGCATTTTTATCCGTGCTTTTATTTAAGAATCTTAAGTATGTAGACGTGAGCACTGATACATTTCACTTGAATGCAGTGCAGTACAGTAGAGCCCTTTCAGGACGACCTGAGACCTTGATCTGGATGAAGTGGCCTTTCAGGGTTTGGACTGCCCTGTAAACAGAGGAACACTGAAAGTTGATAGCTTTGGGGCTCACAGTAAATGTGCTTCCTTCTCTCTTTCCTTCCTGACTGGCTCACCACACAACTTGGTTTGGCAGTGTCTTTTTATCAGTACAAATGACTAACTGGTTTCTTGGCCATGTTTTTAGCTCTAAAAATGAAATTTGCAGCTTGTTGTTGAGTTTTTAAGCAAAAGCGGGTCACTCATTTACTGCCTTGGCTCCTATTATTAAAATGTGACGCTATCATTCATACAGTATAAAGTACAGGCCACATTGGAGCAAAGAAACTACACTGACATGTTGTTGTGTCCAGTGTCCTTAAAGACACTGATGGAGATTGAAGTCAAGATAGTGTCCAACTTTTAAACGAGTTCCTATGAACAGTAATGACAAAGGAGCTTAAACACACGATGACAGAGGTTCTAGTACTGGCTGGGTGTATATGGATCATCCCATTGAGGCTTCTCTTGTTTTTTTTCATGTGGTGGATAATAAACAGTGCAGTGCTGATGATCCTGCCATAGCTTTTAAACCCACAAGCCTCTGTGCTCACTACATAATTCACCTTTGTGATTAGTGCATAAACTTCCACCAGTCTTCTTGCACCATTTTTGCATTCTCTTCTTCCTTTCTTAATCTGGTAGTGCTGTATTCATCACTGTAGTTATTTTTCTCTGTTTGTGGTCTAATGATCTGATTAGTCCATGTGCTCTGGTTGACAGCCACATGTTTTATAGGATTCACTTGTTAAGTGTGACATAACGTTTCACTTCCAGGTTCAAACTCCCCCCAGGCCCAAATGGCAAAGTCTGTCACCCTCTATACAGTAACATCTCTGTTTTTAGTCAGGTGTCACTGACGCAAAAGAGGACTAAATTCTTTTGTGTAGCTGTTATATACATTGTATTATGTCTGACCTGTTTTTAATAGTTCCTAGATTTTACCGTTACATGTGCAATGTGTCAGTGTATAGTGTTTATGTTAACTTTGTGCTAACTAGCTAGCAACATTATGAGCCAGAACGGCACCCCTTTAGAAGTTTTATTTTTATTAAGCTAAATATTAATTTAGTAAACTATAGCCATTTCTTTTTCTCCTTCTCATTGTAAGAAAGTGGTAACATGATGGCTATCCTGTGATTTTTGATTCTGATCTATTGAAACTATGGGGAACACAACACTGCGTCATATTGAACTGAGGAGAATGAACCAAAGTTTGAACCCAGAAATAGAACGTTACATCACTACTTGGCAAGTGGAGAGCCATAGATCCTTGAATACAGCTTCCCCTTTTCTCCATAGCAAAAGTATACTGCAAAATCTATTGACTTAGTTATTTAATGATGTGTTTAGGTGGCAAGTCTTAATCTTTATTTAGGAAAAGCCAGATTTTTGCCAAAATTGAAGGAGGCGATTGTTTATTGAACAGGCTCTACAATTACAGGACAAAAACATGACATGACCAATAATAATAATAATGAATTCATCCATTAAATCCATGGAGGCTCGGAGCAACATGTAAAAGGTAAAGAAAAAGTTTAAATCACATCTTCTGGGTTAATTCCTGTGTGAATAATATGACCTTTTAAAGTTTCATAATTCAGTCTCTTGGCTTCCTGTGGCCTTGAAGGCCTTTGTCCTGCCCTTAATAAGTGAGAAACGCATAAACAAGGTCTCTGCTGTTATCTGGCCCATCGTAATAAAACACAGGCTACTCCCCCTTCCTCTTCCTGTTTGGGGGCTAATGGTAAAATGAGTCTCTGAGGAGTTTTGACTGTTCAGTAATAAGAGCAGCTACCTCAGTGCTTTGGCAGCTCGACCTGTGTGGCTCCCTGTTGGTCTGAAGAAGCTGGTTGTTGCGTGGTCTGTTCCCAGACGTGTCTGAGTCGACTGGTATGCTCATGCTTTACAGTGTGTAAACAGATACGCAGTGGAGATCACCCTGCAAGCTGAATGGTTGTAATTTACATGTTTACAAAGGTGTTATTTTCCAGACATCTGGTTTATGGTAACAGGTGTTTGTGTTACTTGTCAGTGTCACATGTAAAAACAACACTTCAGACTGTTGAAACTGTAAAACCTTCCTAATTCTAGCTTTAGGATTACAATTTTGAGATTAATTTGAGCGGTTATATGCTTTATTAGTGCTATGATATAATTTTGGCTGCCAGATTAGTTGCAGAACAACTTGCATCTTGGAGATGGAGAGGAGTTGACCTGAAAACTGTGACAGAATAAACAAGATGGAGTTAATAACAGCAGTTAATAATACTGTCATCTTTATTATTTATATATTAATAATCAAATTATGCATACTATATCCATGCATGTTTTTGATATGTCTACAATTAGCAAATATCAGACAATATATTGGTCTAACTAGCATATTTGCATAAAAATGCATATGATAACAAATATTATTTGTCAGAATATAGGTTCCTTCTGATGTAATGAGGTGTAGTTTTATATGAGTGAGTGGGACTTTTGAGGCACAGTGTAGTCTGGTTCAGTTATTTCTGGGTGTTATCCTTGGCAGAAGGGAAAAGAACTGGGACCATATCTTTGTTACCCAAGTGGCATGTTCCTTTATCATGAGCAGCTTCCTATGAAGTCCACCACAGACCAGAATCAGGCTGTGCTCTCAGTGAAGGTTTACCTTCTGCAAAAAGCAAAAGTTCTATCTACTTCTGTTTCCAAATAAGCTTTAACTTTTAATTCTTTTTTTAAACAGCTGTTTACTAATGACCATACATACACTGTACTGTCTTATACTTTACTAGGAACCCTGGTGGTTGATCTTCTGCCTTGCATACATTTTACTGTAACTTATTGCTTCATTTATGAACATAATTTTACAACATTGTTGTTATTTCCACACTGGAGATGATTTTTTGTCTAACTTTATTATGACTTTTTTGGAGCAGAGTGGACAGGGGCTTTGTTTTTGAGTCAAACATTCAGGTGTCAGCTCATTTCTTTGTGGTCAACACCCAGTTTCCTATGGCAGCAACCTGCAAGTCACAACAAAGTTAAAAACTCTGTGTGTTTTAAAGACCTGAAAAAAAAATCTGGTGGGCTAAAGTGGAACATAAAACGTTCCCACAAACTGTGTTCATTGTCACGCTTACTTTATCTATACTTAAAATGGAGCTGCTGGCCACCAGTGGAAGACAGAAGTGTTGACAACAAGAGCTGGTTTTGAAAATTTTAACCAATTTTGTCTCCAACAATATAAAAATTCAAGTTTTGGATTATAAGCAGTGAAACAAGAAATATGACTGATTCAGTAAGCAATAATTTAATTCTGAAATACTGAAGCCCAGTGAAAACCAGGGCTGCAGTCAGAGCTAGGCAGTAATATTAACATTTAAAAAATAGGCATTTCCTCTAGAAACACCGAATTTCTTCTCTGAACCCAAGACGCATACATGTGATTAATAATCATGATGATTAGAAGAACAATGTGTTCCTGCTTTCCTACAGCATGCAGCAGATACTGTGAAGAGATGTTTTTCATACAGAGGCTCTAAGGAGCTTTATGATAAAGAATCCTAATGAAATCTTACTGTATTTCTGATTATATATTGAAAGTGGAGTGCTTGAACATTTAGTGTTTTCAGATAGCACAGCAGCAAATCAGTTCTGTCTTGTATCTTCTTCATTAAGTGGCGTTTCATACAGCATGGAACCATAAACACTGAAACAAACAGTTGATGATTTAACTGGCTCATGTAGTGGCAGCTTGCATCATGGCAAAAAGGATCAATTTAGCCTGTGTTTGAAGAGTGTGCGTGTGCGTGTGTGTGTGTGTGTGTGGTATGAGGCACTACTCACACTGTGGGGAGTGAAACTTATTTACACATTAGCACTTTGGGGACTCGGCCCTCCTTGTGGGAACAGGTGCTGGTTACCACCATGTAAATGGCTGAGTTTTAGGGTGATGGCTTGGTTTAAGGTTAGGGTTAGGTAAGTCATGGTTATTGTTAGGTTAGGGGTGGGATAATTCTTTGGGAAATGAATGTAGGTCAATGTAAAGTCCCTACAAGGAATGAGTTAAAAAAAAAAAGTGTGTGTGAGATAGAGAGAGGCCCAGTTAATCCCACTGTAGGTGTGCTCTCCCTGGAGTCAAATGGTCAAAAGAGGAGATTACTGTGCCCTCTGTCAGCGAGATGATGTGTGTGTGTGTGTTTGTTCATTGGTGGGTGGGGTTACCTACTCAGGAGAGCAGAGGTGGCGCTGTGCCAAAAACACAGGAAGCTGCAGGGTGGGTTTTGTGGGGGTATTTTGCAACAAGTGGAAAAGGATCGTGAGAACAAGTGTTTCCAAGTGTGTGTGTGTGTGTGTGCATTTACGCAGTTGTAGCTAGTGCATGTATAATTACATCAGCTAGAGTGTACTAAATAAGTCTCTTGGTTTTGTGTGTCTGTGCTCTTGAAATGATGTATATTTAAGAATGCATTTTTTCTAAATGTGTGCATGTTGTATCTATATATACTGTATGTTCATTGTATTTGTGTTTTGGTGTGAGAGAGAGAGAGAGACCGCGAGTGCTTGAGTCGGTGAGGGTGGAGAGGAAACGGCGACGCTGATGGAGAGTGAGAGGGAAGGGCTTTGGCTGTAGCACTCTGACGGATAGACAGACACAGATACACACAGAGGGAGAACCTGGGAATGGGAGAGAAGAGCCCAGCTCAGGTTGCATCCAACAAAGAGTTTGTCAGTAAGCAAAGGAGTGAGAGGGAGGAAGAAGAGAAAGAAGACAGTTTTGGGGAAAAGCAGGTGAATGAGAGGTGAGAAACACTTAAAGGAAGCAAGAGGCGAAGAGTGAGAACTGAAGTCAGCTGCGAGAAGAAACATCCGAAAGTTGAGACGCAACCTGATGCTGTCACGTTTCTGTCAAGCAGGTATCATGACTTTCATGTTGTGTAGCGACTGTAGTTCTGCATACGTCCAATTATCTGTGAGGGTGCACTCTTGTGTTTCTATCTTTGTGAGGACCTTGTTGGCCAGTACCTGTCTTTGTTTGTATGAGGGTTAAAATGTGGTTTAAAGTTTAAGCCCATTGGCTTAATGGTGCATCCATAATGAGCAGGACATTACTTTCTCTTCTTCGTGTACTAGTACCACTGGTGTGTTTTCTCCAATAATTGCATGAATTAAAATGATTCAGAAATACACAAAGAAGTGTGTGTGTGTGTGTGTATGTCATGGGTGTGTTTGGGACCTTGTGCGGTTAATGTGACTGACCTCGCTTTGCCTTGTGCCGCTGCCGATATCATATTTAATGTGATGAAACTGTGTGTGTGTGTGTGTGTGTGTGTGTGTGTGTGTGTGTGTGTGTGTGTGTTCTGTGCAGGACAACCTCAGTGTGTTTCTGCGTGGCTGTGAGGAGTTGGGACTGAAAGGCTCCCAGCTGTTTGACCCTGGTGACCTGCAGGACACGTCGACACGCCCCACTGCCAAGTAAGTCTCAAAGCTTCAGTCTTACCTTTCAACAGGTGTTGAATCACTACTATTGTTACCACCTTGTAAAGATGAGGTATAACAGTTGATATGGACTTACAAGCTTTAATACTTTTGATCTTATCACATGATCTTCAGCAGATAGATTTTTTTTTTTTCCCAGTCGTTTCTGAAATGCAGTTTCTTTTTTTCTGAGCTCTTCATGGACTTCTTATCTTTGTCGGTTTCAAAGTTCAGCTTCAAAGTTAAGTCTTGAGCAGTGAACAAAATGGTCTTACCTCAAAGTTTAGTAACCGGTTTGAAGGTTTTGTGTGTTTTTGAAATGTTAATAATGAAGGAGGACTTATCTGACGTATCTGAAGACTTGTATGAACTGAGGGATGATGTCTGTATCTCTGGCTGTGTTGTTTCTTTGTGACACTGTCACCCCGTCTGGCACTCTCTCCATTAGACAATTGGCCAGTTCACAGCAAGACAAATAAGTAAATGAGACCCAATGAAAGTTTGTATGAGTCTGTGTCAGTAAAGCAACAATGACATATCTGTTAGACACAACTGGTCTGTGTCCAAGTCCAGCATAAGGCTTTATATCACGCACTGAACCGTGACTCCTTCTGTGTTGCTTGGAAACAAAGACAAGTGCATGTAGTTTTCTTTTTTTTTTTATATATATATGCACTGTGTTTGTGTAAAAGTGTGGGTGTGTCATTGTGTTTGTGGCATGTGCTATCCTCCTGCTGGCTGTGCATAAACAAGGTTTCATTCACAGAAGGGGTTAGAAAGGTGCTGCTGGAGATGGGGGGAGAGAGGGGGGGCAGCGTTGATGTTAGCTGGTCTCTGGAGGGGCTGCGTGACTGGTTCTGCCAGGACAAGAAAATCTTAGAAAGTGCTCAGGTGTGTGTGTGTTTAATGCATTAATGTTTTCAGTGCCTTGATTCTCAGCTTGTGTGCTGCGTTGTTGCAGTGATTCAGCTCCTAAAACCTGTCATTTTCAGTAACAAATCTACTTTTGCTTGTGACTTGGCTGCAGCTCTACGGTACAGTAATAATGAAATGCATTTTTAAACTGTCACTTTTTTAAGAAACCGATTTTAAAACTAAATCAAGCTAAGATGTTCATTCATTCCAAATCATTCAAATGCTGTTCCCTCATTTGAAATACCTTTTGGCTGTGGTCACACCAGATTGTGCGCCACTTTTTTATTGGTCTGAGACAGATTCACTGCTTGTTTCAAGTTTCAAGCTTTTGCAGAGTTCAGAGTTCACTTCCAGTCCAGTTTGAGAGAGGGTATGGGTTTGACCTGTCATTCAGGAAATACTGATTGCTTATATCTTTGCTCAGTTTACTGCTCGGCAAAATAATATAAGCAGCAGAGAAGTACAGGCTGCGCTTGGCTTCACTGGAAGAACGGGCATTACAGAGGCTCATGACAGTAAAGTGTCGGAGAAAACGCTGTATAATTTTCAGCTTGTGAAACGTCTTAGTGTACAAGCTGTGCTAACTCCAAACCTACTTTTTGTGTTTGCACGTGACTAAACTTTAAAAGGTGAAGTCTGATCTGCTCTGCTGTAATATTTTAAAGAATACTATAGGTGCGTTAGTTGGACTGTGTCTTTTTATGTGAAAAATAATCTCCATACTTAACAAATATCAATATACTCACTGTAGAAATATCAGAAATAAGAGGGACAATCCATACAGTTAGCACAGACCTGATAGAAACGTTGGTGACATTGTTGGAATGGCCCAGTGCTATTGTCAGTGGTTATGCAACTCTGTCCTAAAGGATGCTACTTTCTCACAGCTTGTTACCCGTGACAGGAAACTTTGTTTCCTGAGTCTCTCTGGACAGGTGTTTATTCATCCAGGAAACAGCTTTGGGCAGGAATGTGTAAAGACAGACAGGTTTTGGTACACTCTGAGCTCAGGCCTGAAATATGTCCTGTACCTGTGCTTGTTGGTGGAAAAAGATTTCCAAGTTGATGGACAGGGAGAGCAGAGCAGAGGAGAGGGAGGCTGTGTTTCTATGTAGCTGCTAAGCACATTTTTTAAATGACACAAAACACTAAATCCAAATGATTGTATTTATTTCTATTGACAGCTGGGTCCATTCATATTGATTAGGACCCAGTTGCTACTGCTCTTTGTTATCAGTGAGAAATGTAGAATATGTGATGTTTCCTCTAGAGTAAAGCCATGTGGTAATGTTAACAGAAACAATGATTTAACCACCCATCACACATCCCTGCCCCCTGCCCCAGCCATCTATCCTGCTGTCCATTTATCCATTTTGAATAAAACATGTCAGGACTTCTGAGGCCAGGTCTGACTTATTTGTAATTAAATAAGAAAGCCTACGTGATGAATTTCTTAGCCCTAGCCTTTTTTTAACATTAAATAAAAAAATTAAATCAAATCTTAAAAACCTGGATGTGGACACTGCTTTTAGAAATGAGGTGAGGTATAAATCATGGGTTGATTATTCAGTTTTTCCTACTACAGCACCCAACTGCCCGTTCTGTAACTTAAATTATCCTAGATCTTTGACATGATTTATGCTGTATTTATAGTTCAAGGACAGTGAGAATAATACCTCCCTATCAAGAATTTTCAAACTATATCATATATTGAATGTTTCTCACAATAATGTTTCTGTGTTTCACCGATGAATTAAAGTCTAAACCACTGATACTTACACTGATAAAGACAAAGGTAGACTGTGACAGATGTTCACACTGGCCGGGCCCCTAAATATGATCTAATACCTTTTGGAATCTGTTGTGTTCGTCCCTCAGGTTTATTTCTGTAAGGTAGCAGAGGAGAAAAGCAGCCTGTCTTCATGTTTGGGTTACACAGCATTCCCTTCAGCTACTTTCACCTCGCTCTTCTCCTCCTCTTACTCGTCTTTCTTTCTCAGGTCACTGTTGTCATGGAAAGCCCACACAAATACAACTTTGATGTCAGTTGTGTGATGAGTGAGTTTGGTATAAACAGTGTCATGGTTTCACCTCAGTCTTCTGAACTTTTTAAGACTAAACATTCATTGTACGTTTGTGAATGTTGCTTCATTATTAGCATTTTTTAAACACGTTATAATTCATCTTGTGATTTCTTTTGTATATCTCTTTTTTTTTTTTGTCATAGCTAAGGAGTGACATATTACTTTATTTTAAAAAGGGTCTCTCTTATGTCCAGGCTGCACAGATCTGTCATGGCCAGCAGTCACAGTTTAGGAAAAGGACGGTAAAAATGACAACAATTTTGTTTAGTTAACATTAAAAGAGAAATCCAGGTCTTATCTGGGTGTTGTCGTACCTCTGTGTGTATGTGTTTCAGTTTTTTCTGCCACTACTCTGTCTCTCTCTCCCTCTCTCTCTTAGTGTAGAAGTGTTTCCACAGCACAAGTACATTTGGTACTTTAAGTATATTTGAATGCCAATACTTTCATACTTCTACTTAAGTAGCATTTTGAAGGCAGGCCTTTTGCTTGTAGAGTATTTTTACACCGTTGTGTTATTTTTACTTAAGTAAACAATTTGAGGACTTCTTCCACAACTGCTGACTCTCTCTCTCTCTCTCTCTCTCTCTCTGTCTCGTTTTCCCAGAGGAAGCGACTGCAGCCGAAAGCTCAAGAATGTAAGTTTACTTCTGTATTGCAGTCGGATAATTTTTTGTGCTAAAGGTACATTTGAATGGAAACTGTTATTTTGGCTCAGTGTTTGTGTTTGCACTGTAGTTGTCACGGCAGCTTCTCTTATCGTGCCACATCCGGCTCTGGCATTTCTGTTTACCTTTCCCTCATTGTGTCTTAGTGTTCTTCTACTTAGGGTATATACATCTAATAGAATACAACTTCTACAATAAGTCTTTTGACTCTGCACTGCCTGCACCTATCATAGTTTTGACTTCTCTACTTTTGTCTGTGATACATTTCGTAGTTTTATTCTAATCACTGTGCTATTGAGCTATTCTGTTTTTTATTATTTCATTTTTACAACATGAGCCTGTAACTCCTATCATACCTGCTCTATATTCTTTTTTTGCATATGCCATCCGGTTTAGTTCTTTCTATTCCTCTTATTCTGATCTCTCTGCACTTGCTGCATTGTCATTTCAGTTATCCACTTATATGACCCTAGTGTTGCCTATGTTCACCTGAATACACCTCGACATCCTCTTCTCTTTTTCTAATAATTCTGCTTTAAGAAGTAGAAAACAGTGCTGGCCCTGCCCACTCTGCAGGCACAGCAGTGCTCGTCTCTCTCTCTCTCTCTCCCCCCCCCTCTCACTGTGGTGCTGGTGTGCACTGTACAAGTTAATGCATGTTGCTGCAGAGCTGGCCTGTGCCGCTAGCTCATTTAGCTGACTACACACAGGGACTGTCACATTAGCCAGTGTCTGCAGCAGTAGCAAAAACAAACAGCCTATAAACACCCAGCAGCCGGTGCTTTAGCAGGACCTGCTACTACAGTGTGCTCCTACACTATGGATGAGCCATGCAGACTCAGGCTGGGGACTAGGATTTGATAGCAACTGTCTCTGCAGCACATCAAACACTGAGAGGTGAAGGAACTGCACCAACAAGATTTTGCTGATGTGGTGATGTACTGTAGGTGTTGTTTAGCAAACTGATGGGGCTTTGAAGTAGAGACAGGTTATTACATGGATAGATGGAATATTTCTGGAGTCTGAGATGATTGTTGAGCAGGTGCAGGTGTGAACAAAGAGCTGGTTGTGTGTGTTATTATGACTAATTTTGATAAATTTTGAGACTATCAATATAGTATGTATCACCACAGGTCTGTGGACTGTGACGTGCTTAAATGTGTGTATGTATTCACACTGTAGGTGCATTTAGAGTTTACTCATGCTGTTGTGTTTGCATCACGTAAGTATGTTTACTCAGTGACGTGCTTAAATGTGTGTATGTATTCACACTGTAGGTGCATTTTGAGTTTACTCATGCTCTTGTGTTTGCATCACTTAAGTATGTTTACTCATGAAATAAAAACCTGACTGTTGTGTTTCACTGGAACCTCCTCGACAGGTCTTCCCACATCTACCAGAGCAGACCGCTGCTGGAACTGATGAGGCAAAGCATGACTTCACTGTCAGGCCTTTCATTTGTATTTCTGTCAGTCAAAACTCAGCTGACATGGTTTGTTTGAACTACTGTAGCTCACTGTGTGTCTCCAAGTTTCAGTCTTTGTAAGCTTGTTGTAGTTTGAGTTGCTGTTATAGCTGTGGCATGTTTTCCCACAGTGCAGTTTGGATCAGTATTAATTGCATTTAAAGTGTACTAGTAAACAGCTGAAACACACAGGGCTTTGACCCACTTCCAGTGGGAGTTGGCATGAATACGTTCATTACACTGGTGAAATAGAAGCAGTGCTCTGCTGGTTGGGATGCTAAGATGTACAGATGAGCCATAACCACAGTAGGGGCAGTAAGTACTGCATTAGCACAGTATCTGAATATCGGTGGTATTCTGTACGGTAGCAAGATGAAATGTCATGTGTCAGCGATTTACAAAAAAAAGGTGAGTTCTATGACTATAAATGCATCACCTGCAGTTTTGATCTACATTTGGATAGTTCTGCTTTGATTCATTTTCCACTGCTTTGAAGTGTCCTTGAGCAAGACATTGAACCCCTCCCAGCTGCAGAGCTGCAGCTCAGTGAGGCTAAAAGTTTAATTTCCCCTTAGGACTCAACACAGGATTACACAGCACTCATTTGGTTTTGTCCTGCTGCTGATCAGCCGATTAGTTCCTCTGCTTTTCCAGGAGTGTTCGAATGACAGAGGGTGCTCACATTGACAGTGTGACTGAAATAAACACATCAAATCAATATCAAATCAAATTTTATTTGTATAGCTGTAAATCACAACAAAAGCCATCTCAGGACACTTTACAAAGTAAGGTCTAGACCTTACTGTTATCAATATTATTACATAGGGAAAACCCAACAAATCCCCCTTGAGCAAGCACTTGGCGACAGTGGGGAGGAAAAACTCCCTTTAACGGAAGAAACCTCCGACAGACCCC